ATTAGCACAGCATAAGTCCAAGGACCGTGAGTTCAGAGTAACCAGAAAAGCATACCTATGTGTACCATTATCCTCAAGATTCAAATTCTTAAAAAAAAATAAAATATTTTATTGATTTGTTACAGAGAGGAAGAGAGAGGGATAGTTAGAAACATCGATGAGAGAGAGACATTGATCAGCTGCCTCTTGCACACCCCCTACTGGGGATATGCCCTTGCCTGGAATCGAACCTGAGACCTTTCAGTCCACAGGCCGATGCTCTATCCACTGAGCCAAACCGGTTTCAGCTCAAGATTCAAATTCTTAAGCTCTTTTGACATATAATTTTCGTAACGCTGAATACCCCTCGTACTCATGAGAACGTAGAATTAGGCGCAGCTAAGCACGGTGCAGTGCATATCCCTACCCAACTCTGGTGCAACGCGTACCCCCACCAAACTCTTCCTGTACCCCTGGGGGTACAGGTACCACACTTTGGGAAACACTGCATTAAGGCATTAGGTGAGCGTGTTACCTCAGGGGTCACAAACTCAAGGGACTCTAGGACCCAGGCAGGTACCAGGAAGGAGCAAAGTGGGCCAGGTGCCACCTCCATGTTCATTAGAAATGTTATATATCTGTCTCTGGAGAGAAGCATCAATGCCAATCCCAGTGAGGAAAATCTGCCCTCAGGACACGGGTCTAACAGAGGATTTTAAAACGTGACAACAGAATTCTCTGATCTGGTTTTAACAACGGATTTATTTGCTAGATCCCCAAAAAGCAAAATTTAGAAAGTACCGACCCACTCCTAGTAAGAATAGTTCTGTAAACAATTTCATCCCCAAGCTGAACCCTTTTCATCATGGCTGAGCTCTGACACAGAAATACCTGCTGTGAAAGGCAGGTGGCAATGTTGTTCTGCTCACACCTCTGCTACAGCTTCAGCAGATGAGTGGAGCCTTTTTTCCTTTGATAGAAATGTATTGAAAAATTTTCTTAGTAAAATATTTAAAGATCCCTCCCCACTCTCATCCCACTTCAGTCTCTCCTATGAAAATACAGAATTGAAGTCTTTTCCCTTAGTTGTGATCAAAACACAGAGTATTGAAGAATATCCGGCTACTTTAACTGCTAGGGTTATATACTTACAGATTGACAGAACCTCAAGTTCTGCTGCTCCCCAAAATGTGTAATGCAAGAGAGGATTTGATTAGAACAGCTAAAAAACTTGATGGTCATTCCAGGCTGGAGCAAAGCAGCTTTTCAACCATCAGTGGATTTTACGTTATTGATCACAAACCTGCAGAGATCCAATATGATGTGAGTCTCAAATACAGACTATATTTCAGAGAGCCAGGAGAGAGGGCCGAGACACGGGAACAGAACAGAATGCTGGTGAAGGCACGAAGCAAAGAATCCCACGGGTGTTTAGTGCCATTTTCATTTAATAAGCCAGTAGTACAGCAACCTAGAGACGGTGGCTATGATCATAGTGGGATGTTTCTACGGAATCGCTGTAGGACACGTGACTGGCAGCTGGCACCTGCTGGCTCACTGTGCAGGGGAGACCTATGGCTGGGGCGTGTAGCGCAGGTACTTCTTGCCGGATGGGAGCTCTTTGGTGAAAACTCCTTTAGGGAAGAGTTTCTTGGCTTCCTCTTCGGGGATTGTTGGGAGGACCATCACACTATCTCCGACCTACGGACAGACATGGAGAATGGTGAAATCCCATGGCGAGTCCCCAGGCTCTGACTCCCTCTGGTCCTCTAACATGCCACTCACCTCAGGTAAAGCTTCCTGCTCTCGGCCTCCCTGACAGCCAGGCAGAAAGCCAGTCTTCCCACCTCTGTCCTCCCCTTTCCCCTCCTCTCTCCGTTACTAGTATTCTGCGTACCTAATACACTATTAGCTAGTTTATTGTCTGTCTCTACCACCGGAATGTGAGTCTAAGAGGTCTGGAACTTAATTGTTCACGGCTGTATCTGGGCTCAATAAATGTATGTTCAGTGAATGAACACAGCAGTTTAATTGATATACTTTTCAGAAACACAAAAACTGGTACACAGGTTAGCATATTTAAAAAAAATGTAGAGACATTAAAATATTCTTGTGATATTAACCATGTCTTACATACTGCAGAAATCCTAGAGACTATAAGCTTAAAAAAAGTATCAGAATTCTACAGATTTAATGAAGCTTAAGAGAAGAAAATACTTTAGGACAGTAAGACACCGAAAAGTTTTACAGCCAGGACTTAAGTGGCCAATCAAAGTTTTATTGTAAATATTTTGCCATCAGGGAAGGATTAAAGTTAAAAAAAAAATCCTTTTATTAGGAAGGGAATCATTCTGACCAATTAATTTGTCCAAATAAGCTAAAAGCTAGAAAGCAATATAGGGAGTCTGTGTTTTATATAAAAGTGTTAATTAATTAAAGACCTTGAATAGCAAATCTAAAATTCAGCCATGAGGAAAAATCTCCCAGTGCACGGAGAGCCCGAGGGTGGCTAGTGGACATTAGCCACGCAGGCCTTTCAGGCGCGCCGGGGACCTGCCCTTTAGCATCTTTACCTTCCAATCAACCGGGGTGGCGACCCTCTTTTCCGCTGTCAGCTGGAGAGAGATAACTACTCTGAGGATCTCGTCAAAGTTCCTGCCGGTGGTCGCGGGGTAGAGGAGGGACAGCTTCAGTTTCTTATCAGGGCCAAAAACAAACACCTGGAAACACAGACACTTATATAGGACGAGTTCTTTGATATGAAAGCCTCTTGGAATGCTTGCCTGTCATTACAAATGTTCCGGGTATAAACACAAAATGAACACAAACATTCTCCAGTATCTAACATGGCACGCCAAACTTCACTGGGAGGCAGAAACACAGATACTTTTAATATCTTATTAATTTTATTAAAATTTTAAAAAACTTTTCAATTACAGTGACCCATAGTATTATATTAGCTTCAGGTATAGTAGTACATCAGTGTTCATGTCATTTTTCTGCACTTCAAAGGAGATTGATTATATTTGGTTCTGGCTATCCCAGTAAGAAAAACTGATATGCAAACTGAATCCAGGAAAGGGCTTGGAAGGTACTATGTTAAGTAGAAATGATTATCATAAAAATAACACTAATGGGAGTGGATACTGGCCCTCACGTAGTTGTATTTTTTGCAGATGAGGGACTAAGTTTGTTCTCAGGTCAGAACTAACCAGAATTCAAAACCAGAGCCGCCAAGGAAGAAGGACATGGACCACCCAATTAAAGAGGGCTTGTCTGGAGAGATATAGGAAAAATTACCCAATTCTAGAAGTAGGTTTCCAAAAGCTATGAATTATCCAGTTTAAAATTTTAGCTGAAAATTTAGAATGAGCATTACATATAATCAATGAGATTGCTACCAGCACCATTATTTCCTCGAGGAAATATGTAGATATTAACATAATTCGCCTATTTCCTCATGGTCATCCAGCTGGCCAGTCACGGGGACTGCAGAAGGGACTTTGAAGACTCACCACCCGCGCCGTCACAGGCATGCCCTTCTCGTCCTTCTCTGCGGGGTCCAGCATGCCCAACAGGATGGCGAGGTCCCGATTCCGGTCATCGATGATGGGGAAAGGTAACTTTTCTGTGGGCTCCTCACAGTTGTAAGCATTGATATCCTAAAATGCAGATGAAAGAGGAAAGAGAAATGTAAACCAGGCACATCCTCTGAATTCAATCTGTTAATAGCCATTCCATAATCATAGTAATTTTTCTAAGCAATTTTACTAAGTAAGTGAATGAATAAACACATTGACAGGAAGAGCAATAGGGAACTATATTTAGGTTATAAGCATAACCTTTCTTTCTTCTTTTTACATCTTCACCAGAGGATATGTTTATTGATTTTAGAGAGGGGGATGACAACGACTCTGATGTGAGAAACAACAATCATTTACTTTCTGCATAAGCCCTGACTGGGTATTGAACCTGCAATCTAGGTATGTGCCCTGACCAGGAATCCAATTTGCAACCTTTCAGTATATGGGATGATGCCCATTCAAATGAGGCACTAGGCCCGGCTAAGCACAGACCCTTTTCATGCCCACGTCTGTTAAAATGCAGCTTGCTTTTACTGCTTTAAGAAAACAGCAGGAACCTCTTTAAAAGCCAAATAGTATAGTATCAGATACCAATCCAAGGTACAATACCTCTGGGCTGGTATCCTCTATTTATATGTAAAAACCATCAGAAATAATGGGTTCCTTAAGTCCATCACATCTGGAAACAATGCCACATGCAAAGATAATTTTATAGATCTGATCCCCGCCTCAAAAACACCCTGACTCAGACATTAAGCTACTGGAAGAGAAATATTAAAAACAAAACAAAACAAAACAAAAACCCCACACAAAACTCAAAGGAAATATAAGAATGGAGAGTTGAACATAGACTTCAAGGACAAGTCAAAGGGAAATCACTAGAGTAAAATCTACATAGAAAACAAAACATTTCAAGTCTGAACTAAAGGAAGGATGTACTTGCCTCTTCTCTTTCACTCCCTCCATAAAACTTCATTTATTTCTACTCTACAATTTATAACCTCATATGCCATAAAACGTTACCTTGCTCCAGGCAAGATGGTCTTCAACACTGTCTATTGAAAGAGCAATCAGCTTAACGTTCCTCTTGGCAAATTCTGGTGCCAGCTTTGCAGCTCTGCCAAGCTCTGTGGTACATACGGGGGTAAAGTCCCGAGGGTGGGAGAAGAGAATGCCCCATCTGCAATGGAGACAAAGAAGGTCACAAAACTGAATGACAAGGTTATCACCAACAGCATAGCATGCAGAATGGGAAGTCACAAATCTGGGATAAAAAATGATGTTCTTTAAAAAAAAAAATGAATGCTTATGAAGACAATTACTTTTAAACTTTTCTGTGGGGGAATGCTTTTTTGATCTCCTTACTTCCAGCAAAACCAATGTTTAAAGCCCAGTTCAATTGAAGATAATGACAATCAAGATAATTTAAGGGTGCTACCTCTTTTGAGCCACCCCGACTCCTTTTCAACTAATAAGATCTGTGCTACTCAAACTAACTAGCTTATTAAAATAACTTATTTTCTTCTTGCCCTCTTCTTTGTTTTTTTCCTAGTTACACAGACCAACATTCAGCTCCAATAATGGGTATCCCCAGTCTCTGACTCCAAACAAATGGCTGACTGAAAGAATAAACAGATTATGTAATCTAAAATAAAAAGGCTGGTATCCTCTATTTATATGTAAAATTAAAGTTGACATGTGGCTTCTTTGAAGGGAATGGCTATAAAACCTTTTATAAGGCCTAAATGGTTTGGCTCAGTGGATAGAGTGTTGGCCTGCGGACTGAGGGGTCCCAGGTTCGATTCCGGCCAATGGCCTGGGTTGCTGGCTTGATCCCCTAGTAGGGGGTGTGCAGGAGGCAGTCAACCAATGATTCTCTCTCATCATTGATGTTTCTATCACTCTCTCCCTTTTCCTTCCTCTCTAAAATCAATAAAAAATATATTTAAAAATAAAATAAAACCTTTTAGGGGTGGGGACATGAGTGGGGGTGGTGGGAGATTGGAATAGGGGGTTGAGGACAAATATGTGATACCTTAATCAATAAAGAAATTTAAAAAACAAAACAAAAAAAAAACCCTTTTATAAGACAGCTATACAGGACACCCAATATTTACACCTTGACAAAACAGCACTTTCAGAGTTTTACCTTTATCTCTCTCTCTCTCTAGCCGTCACAGCTTTAAAAAAACAAACAACGTTATTGTTGAAAGTATTACATATGTCCTCTCCCCCCCCCCCCCCTCATTGAGCCCTTCTAATCCCCCGCCTTCCCCACACTACTCTGTGTTCATGTGTTATGTACATATGCGTACAAGTTCTTTGGTTAATCTCTTCCCACCTACTCCTGTCTTCCCTCTGAGACTCAACAGTCTGTTCCAAGCTTCTATGTCTCTGGATCTATTTTGTATGTCATTAGATTCCACATATGAGTGAGATGACATGATACTTGCTCTGATGGGCTTATTTCGCTTAGCATGATACTCTCCAGGTCCCTCCATGCTGTCTCAAAGAGTTTTATCTATCTCTTCATTTGTGGTTTCTTTTTCTTCTTGCTTCACACCAAGAAGGTAGAAACCTGATAAGCTACAATGTAGATTCTAGAACTACAGATTTTTAGGTAAATACTATCCAAATCATCACTGCCTGAAATTAAACTTGTAGAGATTTTAAGCATGCTTTAAGCTGAGCCACCAAGAAACTTTGGAGTCCCAGTTCTCCTTGGTGACCATGGTAACTACTTTCTACTGAAAAGGGAAATTTAACACTAGGTTTTCCACACTCCTAGAGGCTTACAACATTAAAGCAGGACCCTAACCTAGATTACTGGATCTAGCTTAGATGCCAAGCTGAGCTCGCCTAGTTTGCCAAATTCCCTGATGCACAGAGAACAAAGCAGAAATGAGGTACCCCCTTCCACTCACATCTGTCACTCAGCTCCAAGGCTTTGGGGAAGGAAAAGACCTTACAAAAAGGATGGAGGTGCTACGGAAAGACTGGGAAGAAAGCGGTAGTATCTTTAACACTGTGTGGTAGGTCTACTTTTTTTAAAGGGCAATCAGGGTGACATATATCTTTTTGTAATAAATAATGTAGCTCTGAGTAAAACGTAGGCCTTAGATTCTATGGAAAAGGATCTGTTTAGGGTTCAGACGAGACTTCTGAGAAGAAATGTTAATGGGGTGATGAATTGGGCAAATAAGGCATTTTCCTTCCATTTCCAGTCAAGAGACAATTTCTCTGAATCACTTCAACCCTCTCCTTCTGGAGAAGCCTAACTCCAGTTTACCTCTCAGCTGGGAATAGCAGTAAACTGGCATGTCTGACCATGGCCTGTCTTCCCTGAGTCTCCCCACTGCTGCTGCTGAGAGTAAGTTAATTACATGGTCCCATTTCCTTCCTTCCTTCCTCATTTTCAAAAGACAATAGGTTTCCTCCTTTAAGGGAACAGTCCCTCCTCACTAACCCCCCAGAAAACTCCGGGAAAACACACGTTTTTGTTTAGTGAAAATGTTCCGTGAAGAAGCTGCTTACACCACATACATAAAGAAACAGTGATTAAGGCTCAATAAACTCACCAAACACAGTCCCCAAACCTCTTAGTTGTATCTCATTGTCTGGGGGAGTGGACAAGGGGAGGGGGAGTTGGTACCTGTGAAATTTATGTTTGTTTTATTTTTTTTTCTGACTTAAAACACCCAAATCAAAAATTGGCAGTCTGAATAGAGATCACATACAGAATGGAGTTTGGAAAATATTATATTAGGCAAAAGTCCATGTATAATAAGACATAAAGAGGTCAAATGTCATTTGGAGGTGGGGCTGACTTGTGCAGCCTTTTATTTTTTATTTTATTTTTAAAATATATTTTATTCATTTTTTTTTTTTTTTTTGAGAGAGTTAGAAACATCGATGAGTGAGAAACATCAATCAGCTGCCTCCTGCACAGTCCCTACTGGGAATGTGCCCGCAACCAAGGTACATGCCCTTGACCAGAATCAAACCCAGGACCCTTGAGTCCACAGGCTGACGCTCTATCCACTGAGCCAAACCAGTTAGGGGTGGTGCAGCCTTTTAAATAAATAAAAATATTTTTATTGATTTTAGAGAGAGGAAGATGGAAAGAGACATCAATGTGAGAGAGAAATACTGATTAGTTGCCTTCGGAATGCACGCTGATTTCAAATCTGCAACCCAGGTATGTACCATGAATGGGAATCCAACCAGCAACCTTTCAGTGCATGGGATGATGCTCAACCAACTGAGGCATACTGGCCAGAGCTTGTACAGTCTTTTATAGATGTGGGTATTTTTCTCATCTTCCCACTGGTGGTTCCCAGATACGGTACCGTTTGTTTGTTTGTTTTTTTGTTTGTTTGTTTCTTTCTTTCTTTTAAAAAATATATTTTATTAATTTTTCACAGAGAGGGAGAGGTATAGAGTCAGAAACATCGATGAGAGAGAATCATCGATCAGCTGCCTCTTGCACTCCCCTTCCTGGAGATGTGCCCGTAACCAAGGTACATGTCCTTGACCGGAATCGAACCCAGGACCTTCCAGTCCACAGGCCAATGCTCTATTCACTGAGCCAAACCGGTTTCGGCTGGTACTGTTTTTTAATAAAATCAACGGAGAACTAGCCAATAAACTATGGCAACGACAACAACAACAACAACAACAACAACAGAAACCCAAGAAAGTGGAGTTAGCTGAGATAGTGACAGCATTTATAATTATTGCTAGAGTAATTATACTTTATGTTAATATTTATCTTAAATTCACACAGCCTAGGAATTCTGGTAAGATTCCTATGTAGGCCGAAACCGGTTTGGCTCAGTGGATAGAGCATCAGCCTGCAGACTGGAAGGTGCGGGGTTCGATTCTGGTCAAGGGCATGTACCTTGGTTGCAGGCACATCCCTGGTGGGGAGGGGGGGAGTGCAGGAGGCAACTGGTCGATGTTTCTCTCTCATCAATGTTTCTGGCTCTCTATCCCTTCTCCCTTCCTCTGTAAAAAAAATCAATAAAATATATTAAAAAAAAAGATTCCTATGTTATGTGGGGGTGAGGACTGAGAGTGGAAATGGGAAGGAACATACTCTGAAAAATACCATGGGGTTTGAAGAAATACTAATACCTAGATTCCAAGTATAGACTGGCCTTGGTCTGTGTTTCTGAAGCCCTTTCCTACCTTCAGGGTCCGAATGGTCCATGTCTCATCATTTTCTAGTTGAGCCCTCTCTTTCACAAACGCTAGCTACTCCATTGATGGGAGGTGGGAAATGGACTTAGAGTTGTTAAGGGGTTGGGTAGGCCTAAGATATAGAATCTCTCTCAGGTTCTCTGAACACCCCTGTTCAATTGTTGGTTTGGCCTCATAAACTTTCTTCTCTCTCTCTATACATATCACATATAAAAGGATTCAAACCCAGGGAGGAATTACTACGCCTCAGAAGACCACGGGGCTCCTGAACTATAATGTAACTAGACATGTCTGGGATGTTTCTGATTGAAACCGAGCAACTTAAATTTTGCAGATTCAGGAGCTATAAAACCAAGGTGACAGCGACTTACTCCTAGTCATAATGGTTTGATTGCCAGGCCAGATGACAGGTCACCAATTTTTATCGCACCATCCAGGCCATGTGCTGCTGGAAGCAAGGCAGGGGGAGGGGCACACCACTGGGAACAAAGGGTCTCAGGGAGCAGGGGTACACGTGTCCTGGCAAGAACAGGCCACTGCAACTGGGCAGCCTCAGAAAGCCTTCCCTCAACAGTGTTGCAAGTTCTGGAATTAAGGGCACACCTAAGCACAGAGTGTTCTTGGTTCCTCCCAAAGTTCTTATCAAATCTTATCCCGGCCAATAAAGGAGCTGAGGCCAAATAGTCTTCCGGCCTTGGTGGCTTTAAATTTTCCTTTTGCGCTGAGGAGCCTGCAAATCCCAGGCAGCAAGCAGAGCCCTTCTGCCAGCAGCAGAGTCCCGGGACTCTGGCCTCAGACACCCACCTTCCCCGGGAGCAAGTTCCAGAACAGAGGGAGGGAGAGGGCCCGAGTCCAGGCAGGAGTCCCAGGAGGTGACCGCCGAGGCCGCCGGCTGCCGTCCCCACCGGGCCTGGCTGGACGTGTCTCTTGCACAATTTACAAACCGAGTTAAACAGCAACAAGCCCTGCTCCGCAGGGCGCTCGGGCACCGGGACCTGCGGAACCCAGTTTCTTTCCCCTCCCCCGTCCCCGCCCGGAGCCTGCCGGCCACGCGGGGGCCGCGCGGCGGGAGGGAGCCCAGCGGCCGCGGGGCGGGGGCGCACAGGGAGGGGCGCACGGGGAGGGGCACCTGCCGGCACCGCTGCGGGAGGCGGTGGCGGGCAGGCGCCCAGCGGCCGGAGGACGAAGGGAGAAGACGAGGGAGACGCCTTCGGATGGGAGCGAAGCCGGAGGCCGGGGCAGGGCGCCGGGGTGGCCACTTACGAGTCTCCCAGAAAGTCGTGGAAACGGATGCGGCCGACGGTCGTATTGGCCTCGAAATTGGGAGCCTCGTCCCCGAGAAGGAGACCTCCGGGCATGGCGGCGGCGGTGGTGAGGGAGGATGACAAGGAGCGGCAGCGACACGGAACCAACAGCGGGTTCGGGAGGAGGTGCTCCTGCGGAATGATCCGGCCGGAGGGGCGGGTGGGCGGGGCTTCAGCCGGCGGGGGCGGGGCCAGGCCCAGGCCGGCCAGTGGGCGCTGGTGTGCTTGTCCCTTTAGGGGAGGTCGCCCCAGGCAGGCTTGGGGGTGCGCAGCCTTTGACCCTGCAGTGTGTGTGCACGCTTTGCAGGTGAAAAAGTACAGCACGGTAGGAATGGGCCCCAACCGGGGGAATCCCACAGCCGCCCCAGGACCCTGGAGCCGCAGAATCCGCCCAGATCCTCCTGCCCACCCACCAAGGGCGACCTTGCACTCCTGGCTCTAACAGTGTGAGTGTCTGGAATTGGGCCGCTTCAGCCCGCCTAGCCATCATGAATAGTGTCATATCGGAGGGTGTGGCAAGATCCAGATGTGTGGAGGACCTTACCTCAGAGGAAGTGGCTTTCTTATTGCAGCAGAAATTCTCGCACCATGTTAGTCAGTGCTTGGGGGAATGTGACTAAAGTTTTCATTTTTTTATTCCACTCACTCCCCGTTCCCAGAGCTCACTATGAACTATAAAAGAATACAATTATTCTGAAATCTAAATGTAAATTTTAGAACATACTTGTTGTGATCCTCTGTCCATGCACAACTTAGACAAGATGACTGTTCTCTTGGAGCTTTCATTCTAGTGGGGGAGACATAATTAAATAAAAATATATTAGGTAGCAGACATCCTATTCGGAGGAACAAAATAAGGTGTGCTAGTGGTAACTGGTGCTGCTTTGGATTGGATAGTCTGATCTGGGAAACCTCCGGGATCATGTAGGTGAACTACTTAGTACATAGGAAGTGCTCTGGAAATGACAGCTAATTCCTGGATGATGATAATTTATACAATAACTTGCTTTGCCAGCTATAGGCTAGGCACTGTGCCAGGCCTGGTGTTGCAATGGAAATATAGTCCCTGCTCTTACAGGGAAGAAGGTGGCATGCATGCAATAATGATAAAAATGCAGAATAACTGCTGATAGGGGGAGGGCGCCAAATGGTCTGAGTTCAGCAGGGGGGGAAATTCTCAGGTTTAAGGAAGGTACATGGCAGAACTAGAAGTGACTCACTGATTTCAGTTTTCAGCACAGTGATGTTTTCGTGTGTGGGCGCATACTAATCAGTTCTCTTCTGAGCAAGGACTTGCAGTAAAATTCTTGCTAAAATTTCTAAACACTCAAGAAAACTATAACGCTACTATAACTTAATCTCTAAATTAATTTGACTCCAATCTTTGGTTCTAAAAACTCGATGTTTTAGCTCCTTTTGTAGGGGAGAAAGAGAAGAAAGGGAGAGCAATCTGACCTTGAGGCACTATTAGTAGCATTATGGAGCCAGACTAGAAGACAAAGCTATTACCACAAATAAGGAGAATGAATACAGGAACAGGTTACTGATCTCCATAAAGGGCATAATTATGGAACTGACTGTTGTAAATTGAGCAAGTACAATAAAATAAGAAAGAGCCTGTTATTATAGAATTTACAGTGCCAGGGACTGCATCCCATAATCCTCTTGCTCCTTGCAAAACCTGTCTACTTTAATCTTTGAAACGTTTTCAATTCTTTTTTGAACTAGCCGTCAATATTTTTTTTAAAAAAATACGATTTTTCATAAAAATCTGGATATCTGTCTTCTAAAACATCAGAAGATCTAGCCATGCTGGGCCAATGTTCCATTTGGCAAATGCTGACTAGGGAGTAGCCACCTTGGAATTGTCTGTTCTTGTTTGTTCAGAAAGTTCTCCAATATTTACTGACATTGTCTATTGTCACTTTAGTCACTTTAGCTCCCCTCTCACACTATTACTTTTTTTTTATAATATATTTTATTGATTTTTTTACAGAGAGGAAGGGAGAGAGATAGAAAGCCAAAAACATGGATGAGAGAGAAACATCCAGCTGCCTCTTGCACACCCCCAACAGGGGATGTGTTCGCAGCCAATGTACTACATGCCCTTGACCGGAATCAAACCTGGGACCTTTCAGTCCACAGACCAACTCTCTATCCACTGAGCCAAACCGGTTTCAGCTCACACTGTTACTTTTATTAGAGAGGGATTAAGAGGAAAATGAATCCTACACTAATATATCCCTATCTCTATCAGCACTGAAAATGAAAGGTTGCCTGAGAGCCTTGTGTTTCCAGGAGGAACAAGATAGATCATTTTTCTTCGTAAAAGAAAAGAATGATCCTGTGTACTTAATATGCAAAAAAGTTGGGATTAACCTCTGCACCCCACCGAAGGTGGGTGCTCTGTGGAAAACATAAGCTGCTCTCCCAAGGGCATGCAGGAAGTGCCATGGGAAAGGAGGAAAGGAGAAGGGCGGAGGGAGGGACCAGAATGTGGAAGAGGGAAAGCTGGGCTGAGGAAAACATTTACTTTGCAGAGTGGGTAGAGGCTCTGGGATCAGAAAAAAAGTTTCTATGCAGCTGACCTTAGGACCACTGGTACTGGGTCTCAAAGAGTTTGATTTTGGAAGCTCACAGGTTACTTAGCATTAAGTAACAGGAAGGAAGGAATGTAGGACCTTCAGAGGGCCATGACTCCTGACTGACCGAGTCTCTTCTGTCCTTACTGCTTTGGACAGATGAAAGGAAAAGGAGAAAGGATGGGCAGTGGCCATTTGGGAACTCCTAAAGGTGTGGCCCTACTAAGCATTAGAGTGGGCATGGGGCTAGATTGCACAAAGGACCAGAGAAGCATTTGGCTACCTTCCTGCAGCCACCACAGCAGTTTCCTGTCTGCCTGCAGCTGGGAATAAAGGTGCAATGTGTCCCTGGTTAAAATTATAGCTAGGCAAAAATTCTTATGCTTGTGGGAGGAGATAAATGAAAGTTGAAATTAATCTTAGGGAGGCTGTTTTAAAACCAGTTCTCATAAGCTTTCTTGTTAAATTTGATGGTCTTTGCAGAAAAAAAAAAAAAAATAGGAGGGCTGGAGCATGTACAGACAAAGGCAGTGCCATCTACCTGCCATGTGAGAAGGGCTGATGGTCTCCCCACTGCTCTTCTTTATTGTGTTTAAGGAATATGGGCTCTCCTCCCTTCTGTATCTGCTGTGGGACATCCACAACCTGGAGAGAAATCAGAGTAGAAAATGGGGGAGCAAAAATAAAAAGACAACAGTTGTTAAAAAGTTAGATGATTGCGTAACTCACAGAGGGGCTTTGAGTAGCAAATTCCAACACTTCTTGTCCAAAATTCAGCATCCTGCAAGTTTACTGTATACCTGAAAGATACTGTTTAGCAAGTTTCACAAATAATGACTTTTGGGGAGGAGAGCAGAAAGTTTTTCTTAAATAGTTACAGGATTAGATTTAAAAACATGATATAATAATTGGATAGCTAGACACCAAAAGCCAACCTGGAATGGTTTGAAAGATGGCGAGTTAGGTTAACCAATTCTCTCATCTGCTTTTAGTTAAGCATAAGAGGCCCCATGCTATCGAGAAAAAAATTTATTATGTTTACAGAGTGGGCAGTGGATATACATTTCTGAAGCTTCATATCTGTATTTATACAGAGACTGTCAAAGAGATGAAAAAGGGGAAAGGGAAAGAGGGAGAGAAAAGAGAGAAAGCAAAGAAGTCTTATGTTCTTATGGTATTACATAAGAACACATTTGTAATACCAAGAACTCTTTTAAGTACAGGAACTGGGAAAGGAAGAAAAAAGAAACACGAGAAAGGGAAGTGTTTTTGAGAGGAACCAATTTGCATGCCCACCTGGCCCAGGCTCCCTCCCTCCTTCCCCCAAGAAAAGCTGAGCAAATGGCCCTGCCACGTGCTGGCCTTTGGAGATTGCACAGGACTAGAGACTGGCACCGCAGCAATGAACCTACAGCCTGGCTGACAGCCTGTGATGGGGCATGGCACAAAGTGCTTTATTATTGGATTCTCTCTTGGTGACTGGAAGGCAAGACAGTGGATTCAGTCAGTGGCTCACAGTAGGGGTAGAAGCTGAAAGATGGTCAGGTTAGGTAAGCAGAAGCCAGAAGAGTGGAGTGGCAGGGACTGTAGAAGCAAAGAAGCCTGATGCTGAAGGGTGCAAGATAACCCAACAAGTCCTTAATGGTAAGTAACCTGTAAGCTTCCAAACTCAAACTCTTTGAGACTCAGTGCCAGGGGAGAACTAAAGGTGGGTGGTGGGAGAAGTCCTCCCCATGTTCAGAAAAGTAAGCTACCGGTATGCATTTTATGAAAATCAAAAGATAATGGTAATTATAACATTAGTCTATTTGTTATTAACACAAAGATTACTAATCAAAATTAGTGATGAAATACTCCCCCCAGAAAAATCTTGATGTTGATCTAAATTCTGAACCATTGCTACAGTTACTGTTGAGTTTTAATCACATGCACATATGCTCCAGATGAGCACGTTTTATTCTTTAGTTTTAAAAAAGTATTCTACATAGCAGTTGATTTGGAGAATTCTCCACTTTTTCTCTATATATTCAGAGCTCATTTATTTTGGGAGTGAATTGGAAGAAATTCCAAATCACTTTGGTTGTGGTTCAAGTTGTCTTCTAGAGCGCTTTCTGTCTCTAACTCTTGAATCCAGACATTTAAACAGTAGTATCAAAGTAAGTAACAATAGCTCAGTGATTATAAAGTTAAAGTAACAGAACTTAAGTTATTTTATTGTGAGTGACCACTTGGAATTTTTGTGTTTAAAATTTAAAACATGTTTACACTTAAAACTATATAAACCATTACTAAAGATGCAAATTAATGGGAAGACATCCCATGTTCATGGATTGGAAGACTTATTAGTAAGATGTCAGTACTACCCAAAGTCATCTACAGATTCAATGCAATTCCTATCAACATTCCAATTATTATTATTTTTTTACTGAAGTAGAAAAATTCATCCTAAAATCCATTTCGAATGTCAAAGTATCCTTAATAGGCAAAATAATCTTTTTTAAAAAAGAGCAAACTTAGAAGTCTTATATTTTTCTGATTTCAAAACATATTACAGAGCTTCAGCTATTAAAATGGTGTGCCACTGGTATAGGGACAGACATACAGACCAATGGAACAAAATAGGCCAGAAATAAATGCTTCCGTATATGGTCAAATTATCTTTGACAAGGGTGCCAGGCCATACAAGGAGAAGAAAACTGTTGTGTGTCACTGAGTCAACAGGGACTGAATGTTGTAGATAAAAAATGGCAGAGCAGTAGGAAGAAACAAGAGGATGCCAGACTCATCCTGGAATAACTAGGGTTAGAAGAGTCCTGCAGGTTGTAGCAGTGTCAGATATTTGCATGTACAGCATGTTGTTGATTAGAAAAGAAGCTCTTTGTTCTGAAATGTCTTCATCAGCGAAAGTCAAGGAGATGAACTCAGAGGGGACACAGTGAACTCGTCTCCTCCTCCGCATGGACAGGGTCTCCGGACTGGTCTGCAGAACTCAAATTCACCTTCTGTACCAGCTTCTGCTGGCTGTACGCCTAAACGCTCTCCTCTGACCCCCAAGTTCCTAGTCTGTCAGCTCAGTGTGTTCTGATGGTGGGAGCAGTCTCAAATTGTTTGATAGATGCAAGTGTTTGACTCTCTTAGGGCAGGAATTGTGTTTTACATCTCCCTCAGGACCCCATTTATTTGTTACATAGTAGGTGCACAAACATACATGCTAAATGGTAATAGTGCAAAGGGCTGTGAACTTGAAGGCAGATGCCCTGAACTTGAATCTGGTTTCATACTTGTCAGCCCCATGAGCTTGGGAAAGATGATGACTTTTCAGCTTCCTCATCTGTACAGAGAATAGTGATCTCTGCTCTGCCCACTTCACTGGGTTTAATGTAAGAATTCATGGAAAATGTGAATCTCCATTTGTAAGCTGAAACTTACGGTAAAAGTGTAACACTCCCATCCTTTAGGTCTTTATTCAGCTGGGATAAAGGAACTGATGGGCTGAGGGAACTGATATGTGAGAAGACCCTGGAGGCTAAGCAAGTCTTCTTGCTTGGGCTAAGGAACTAGAAGGTGACAAAGAACTGGAAGGTGGCAGATAAGCCTGGAGGCTGGGAAGAGAGGAAGGGAATGGCCCAGGATGACTGGGGAGGGTGGGCTGGGGCCGGTCACGAGTGAGTGTATTTTTTAATTTTTAATGCTCACCAAGGATATTTTTCCATTTTTTTATAGAGAGTGGAAGGGAGGGGGAAAGACAGACACACACACCCACACACACAGAGAGAGAGAGAGAGAGAGAGAGAGAGAGAGAGAGAGAGAGAGAGAGAGAGAGAGAAACATCAATGTGAGACACATTGATGGTTGCCTCCAATACGTGCCCCCACATGAGCCCTGACCAGGACCAGGGATCGAGCCTTGACTAGAATTGAACCTGGGACCCTTCAGTCCTTGGGCTTATGCTCTGTCCACTGAGCCAGACCATTTAGGGAATGAGTGTGTTTTAAAATCACCTCACTGTCTGAAGCCAGGATATTCTGTCTCAATGTCAAGCTGAAAACATTGCCTTTGGTGCTCATACTTTCATATCCATCAAATCTGAAATATATCTTTATCTCTCCCCTCTACTGGTCCTGGGTTTTTGTCAAGAATTCTGGACCAAAACATGAATCCACAACCAAATTGCAGTCCTGAGCCTTGGATTGCATGACCTCACCATCCTGGAAATAGGAAATGGTGCCTTGAGTTTGATAAAGGACTTTTGAACTCTGGGAAGGTGCACACATAAGTATAATGATGGTGAAGTAAATAAAACCCAGGGTATAATACTTTTGTACAAAATCAGGAATAACTTGGTAATGTCTGTGGTCCTGTTTGTTTTATTGATTATTTAAGATGTTTGAAAAGTTGTTCATTATGTTCAGATGTATTTCATATTGGTTTGGGATTTGAAATGCTTCAAAATGTTTTATATTAGACTTATTAACTAGAAATATATAAACAAATCCCCTCCCTTGTCCAGTCCTAACACTGTCCATGGGTGGAAGTGTAGTCCATGCTGGTGAATACCCTCTCGCCTGTGGCTTATGTTGGACCATTATGGACTGCATGAGCCTGGTGCAGTGGAAAGTTGAAACAAAAATGTGACTGGGGCCCAGCTAGTGTGGCTCACCTATGAACCAGAAGGTCACAGTTCAATTCCCGGTCAGGGTACATGCCTGGGTTGCAAGCTCCATCCCCAGTAGGGGGCATGCAGGAGGCAGCCAATCAATGATCCTCTCTCATCATTGATATTTCTATATCTCATTTCCTCTCCCTTCTCTGAAATCAATGAAAACATATTTTTAAAAAAGTGATAGTGCTTACCCATCTCTATCTTGCTGGCCTGTCTTTCAGTACTTGACACGTGGTAGGTGCTCCGTAAATGTTACTTCTCTTTTTCCTCCCTAGATGCAGTGCTGAGTTTCTTGGAAGCTAATGTACATGTCCACCCTGGGAAGTGCTGCAGACAGGAGACATGTGTGGGTCTAGATAGTGCTCCTGCAGGATGAGGTGGCCAGATCAGTTCAGCCGGCACCCCCTTTTCATCCTTTGCAAGAAGAGTCGAATATTATAAGTTCAAGCATAAGCTCATTAGTCACTACCAATATTTGATCAGTGCTGTACAGTTTACACAGGACATTCTCATGGATTTTCTCATTTCTTTAAAAAATTTTTTTCTTTATCGATTAAGGTATTACATATGTATTCTTATCCCCCAGTTACCCCTCTCCCCCAATCATTTCGTTCTTGCAACAAACCTTTGAGGTTACCCATTTTAGAAGAGGAAACAAATTCATTAAGTAATTTACCCAAGGTCGAACCATCGGTGATGGAGGAAGGACTGTTAGAGAGTAGAAATTTTTGAGCATGCTTCCTCCTATTGACTTAGCCTTGAATCCCAACTGCACCTCACAAAATAGCCTTGCAAGATAGAACACTGTTGGCTTTCTTAAGAACAGGATGACCCTGCAAATAACATGGTCATCAATAACATGACCTGACTTTACTTAAGAAAAACTGTTTTGTCTTAAACTGCTTGCTCTGCAAAAACAAGATGCGGTGAATGTGCTTAAAAGCGGTCCTGCACAAAGGGTCGGGACTGCTCTCTGGACTCCCTGCGAGGAGAAAGGCAGAGCAGTCGCCAGCCAGCTAATAAATTTTAATTTGATCTGGACTCCAGTGGTCCTTCACTTGTGTTCACTCCACAACAGGTGTTCAGACATTCAAGTTGATGTTCTCTATGTGGTTCAATACTTGTTGGGGGAGGGTT